GAGGTTAGCGAGCCAATAAATGGTCGATCGCACATTTCTGCTGTGACAGAAGAGTCTTTCAACCCGCGTGGCAACTAACCAAGAACCACTACTTTATGGTGCATCGAACCTCCAGCAAGTCGGACTTGGGCGTGAGGTAAGATTACATTTGAGGCTCTAACCCTTAGCTTGGCTTGTCGTTTTACTAGATTCTGATTTGCAACTTTTGCGATTACTCGTTTGCGAGAGTTCTTGCGAATCAGTTTTTTCATGCAAAATGAGCGGCCCTGCAAGCTTGCGAGCAAAGAAAGGCCTTCTCACAAGATACAGTAACGCTCTTAACGAGATTGTGTTAAGTAATACCACTCTACTCGCTGGGGATCCCACCTTACAAGAACTCGCTAAGGTTTCCACTGCGTTGAAAGTTAGATGCAGTACTGTACTCGAGACGCTCACAGAGCTCTTGAATATGATAGATCATCTTGAAGACACTTTAACGGAAGAACAGGATACTAAACTCCAGGAGTACATAGTGGGTATCCAAGATGTGGTTGCGAAGTCCCATACCCTCATTGCAGACATCGAAGCAAGAAAGGCAGGTCTACAAGAAGCCGGGGTGAGCAGAGAGAATCTGCGGGGAACACTACAGCAAGCAAAAGTGGAATTGCCCGCAATTCCTATCCCAAAGTTTGCAGGAAAACTAGAAGAGTTTGACAACTTTTGGTCACTTTTTGAATCCAATGTCAACTCCCAGAATCTAACGAACCTACAAAAGTTCAATTACCTACTGAGCGCCCTGAAAGGAGAGGCTCGGCAGGTAATAGGGAGGTATGCAGTAACGGAACGAAATTATCCATTAGCAGTAGACCTCCTCCGATCAAAATACGGTGATCGATCAAAAATAATCCGTCATTTGCAAACGCGCTTGGAAACTGCATCAGCTAAGGGCAGTAAAATCGCGGACCAGCGCCAGCTTTTAGAATACTTGCTATCCTTTACGACCCAGTTAGAGCAATATGATGTCACCCTGAGAGGATCTTTCATAACGCAAAAGTTACTCAGTAAATTCGAAATCGACCTTCAACGTAAGATTCTCAAAGTCATGACTTCACAAAACATTTCTGACGAAGACTGGAATGCGGGAGATTTGCTGAAAGAGCTTGATAAGCTCATTGCTGCTGAAGAACGCGTCGCGGAGATGATTCGTGATAACGAACCTCTCGCGAAACGTAAAGGCAGAGAACAACAAATGGGGAATCGACCCGAGCAGGCTCAAAAAGGAAAATCCCCGTTCTCGCAAAAGAAATGCATCTACTGTCAAAGTACAGACCACAATTCGCTGAGATGTTCAAAGGTGCGCGACATCAGCGGACGTATCGAGCAAATGAAACAAAAGAAGTTGTGCATCAACTGTGGAAAAGAAAACCATTTTGTCCAGGAATGCTTGAGTAAAGGTTGCATCCGATGTGACAAGAAGAAGCACCACTTTTCCATTTGCCCTAAACTCATGGAAGAAATCAATAGCGACCTTATGAGTAACGCAAGGGATAGTTTACATTCCTCACAGTCAGCGCGGAGCATCAGCGAAAAGAAAACTCGCTCGCGCAACAGAGGAAACGTACAGTGCATAGAAACTAGGGACCGAGACCCCCCTGCTAATCATGTTGAACTCACTTGTAGCGAACAGGTCCTTAACTCGGAATGTGAAGCCTTCGCTGAAAGCCATGCCGGGAAAACAAACGTTTTCTTACTCACGGTAACTGCGCGTATACAACATCCTAAGACTCAGGCCACCCAGGAGGTTCAAATCCTCCTTGACACCGGAGCGGATAATTCATTTATCCAAAAACACCTGGCAGACGAACTTGAGCTTCCAACACTGCGCACAACCGAGTTACTGATGTATACCTTCGGTTCTAAGAAACCCACACCCTGTACTTATGGCGTCACTAGCGTACGCTTATGGGACAATCACGATCAGCCCCTGGATCTAACCCTTTGTAAGACCGATACCATCTCAGGAAAAGGCAAACAAGTCGTTTTAGATGAGTGGGATAGGGAATACCTGGCCAAGGAGCACATAGATCTTCCCAACCCTGACGGATCCATCATACGGCCTAAAATATTGTTAGGGTGCGATCAGATGTGGAACCTGATAAAATTCCCTTGTAAGGGGCATGTATTGCCTTCAGGATTGCACATAATTCCCTCGCGATTAGGCTACCTCCTTACTGGGAAAAGCGCTTTAAAAGAAGAAAAAGCTTCTAGCGGGACCTGCAATTTCAACGAATCTGATTGCGACATCTCCTTTGAGGCAGAAGATGAAACAGACAAGTGGGATCGATACTGGACGATCGATTCCGCTGGAATTGAAGAATTCACAGGCCCTACGAAGATAGAGCGCGCAACCGTAGCAAAAAGAGTGCACCATGACTTCAACGCTACGATTGAAAGGCGCAGCGATGGTTATTATGTGCGACTGCCCTTTAAAGACAATCGCGACTCCTTGCCAACGAACTACAAGCTTGCTCAACGAAGACTTTCCAGTGTGCTACAAAAATTGCGAGAGAAGCCAGAACTTCTCAAACAGTACAACGCAGTCTTCGAGGAGCAGCTTGAGAAAGGGGTAATCGAAAAAGTCACATCAAAAGAACAATTGGGTTCGGGGCACGTGCACTACCTCCCCCATCAAGCGGTACTGACCCCTAAAAAAGAAACTACTAAGTTACGTATTGTTTTCGACGCGGCCTCCCATTACAAAGATTGCCCAGCGCTAAATGAGGTATTACATCAAGGTCCCACTTTATTGCCCGACCTCTACGCAGTCCTTTTGCGCTTCAGACTCGAGCCATACGTGGCAACTGCAGATGTCGAAAAAGCATTTCTGCAAATAAGGCTGCACGAAGATGACAGAGATGTCACGAGATTTTTATGGGTACGGGATCTGACCCTACCACCTGAAAACGATAACTTAGTATGCTTTCGCTTTACAAGAGTTCCGTTTGGCTTAAATGCTTCACCGTTTCTCCTAGGAGGGACGATACAGTTCCACTTACAGAAATCGGTAAGCGACCATGCCTTGGCCCAACAAATTCAACACAATTTATATGTGGACAATCTTGTTTTGGGAGCAGAGACTCCTGAGGAGTTAGGCCATAAATCCGAAGCAGCGCGAGCAATTTTTTGCGATATGAAATTGAATTTGAGAGAATTCTTGTCAAATACTGAGCACGTGACATCTGTCATTCCACGCGACAAGTGCGCGAAAACAGAAAGCCAGAAAGTCCTGGGAATTCTCTGGCACTCCAAACAAGACTCCCTACAAATTTCTTGTAACTTTCCCAACAAAACATTCATCACGAAACGAACGGTAACCCAGCAAATTGCCTCTATTTATGACCCGTTAGGGTGGTTAGTCCCAATCATGGTATTACCGAAACAATTCCAACAGAACTTATGGAGACATGACTATGCTTGGGACCAAAAGCTCTCCCAGCCACATCAAGATCAGTGGGAAAAAATTTTGCACGCTATCAACGGGATCGACAAAGAGATCAAACGTTACATACCTATTTGCGAAGCTAACCAGTTAGCCCTATTCTCGGACGCAAGCGAAAACGCTATGGCAGCCTGCGCGTATTTGGTTTCGGAAAATAGCGCTTCCCTGTTGATGGCCAAATCAAAACTGCCCTCCATCAAAACACGGATAACGATACCCAAAGTTGAAATGAATGCCTTGGCTATAGCAGGTAGATTAGCTTTATCAATACTTAATGCCTTATTAGCCAAAGTCCATACAATAAGAAGGGTGCTATTCTTTTCCGATTCTCAAATCGTGTTAGGATGGACAAAAAAGGGCCCCCACGAACGTGATTTAGGGAAATTAGTGACTAATCGTATAAAAGAGCTACAAAACATAGTCACAACCATACGATCAATGGGTCCAGAAGTGGCTTTCGGATATGTCCCAAGTGAATGTAACCCAGCCGACGCCGGCACGCGTGGATTATCTCGAGAACAGTTCCTTGATCATTACTGGTGGACTGGACCAAATTTTCTGCGCAACCCAAACGGAGACTGGACACAATCACTTTTCACCATAGAGAGCCCTGCAACGGCAAACGAAACACTGGCATTCACCGTTGTATCAGAGAATAAATCCCAAATATTCCCATGGCATCGCCATAGTTCTTACATACAAGCGCAAAGAACAATGGCGTGGGTGCTACGCTTCCTCCGAGCCTTCACAAAACACCTGCAACCAGCGCACCAACTACGTGTTTACACCACTATCCCACTTCTGAAAAGCGATGCTCAAACCGACGAGAAAGCGCTGACGGGAGCTGAAATACGACAATCAAAAATGCTTCTCATAAGACTCCACCAAGCAAACTTCTCTGAGGACTACATTAAATCTATGGACAACACACTCAAATTATTCAAAGACTCTATGGGCTTATGGAGGGTAAGAGGGCGACTAGGGTCAACTACACTAGAAGATTCCGCAAAGTTCCCTATTCTTATTTCCCCAAAGTCTGAAATAGCCGACCTCATTCTGCGAGATGCGCATGGCAAATTCCATAGTGGCATCGCTCACACAATGTCTACGGTTAGACAGGAGTATTGGATACCAAGGTTGCGGCAAAAAACTAGTAATCTAATCCAGCATTGTGTACGCTGCAGACGATTCAATGCTGCGCCATATTTTTACCCTGCAATGCCGGATTTGCCAGCTAGAAGAGTTCAGCAAAGTGCTCCATTCCAACACATAGGGCTAGACTTTTTTGATCTACCCAAAGTGCTAGATGGGAGCTCTTCAGTGAAAGTGTATGGTTGTATTTTCACCTGCGCGGTAACGCGGTTGATACACCTGGAAGTCGTGACCAACATGGGAACGATAGCCTTCTTCAATGCCCTGAGACGTTTTTTCTCACGAAGAGGAATTCCAAGCTCTATAACGTGCGATAATGCGCCAACTTTTATTTTGTGCGAGGAACTTTTGAGAGCAGCAATACAAAATGCAGAATCCAACCCCCTCATAGCCAACAATAACATCGACTGGAAACACATAACCCCTTACGCACCATGGCAAGGGGGGTTTTATGAAAGGCTTATCCAAACAGTCAAACGTTCGCTGTATAAGGCTTTGGGTCGAGCGTTGCTAGATCTAGACACCCTCACCACTGTGATCACTGAGGTCGAAGCTAGTTTGAACACGCGGCCCTTAACCTATCAAGAGGCAGAGCCAGAAAATCTGAAACCTCTTCGGCCGATCGATTTTATACAGAAGAACATGACGATCACTTATCCTCTTGACACGATTACAGTGGACACATCAGATCCGGACTATCACCCGCCAGCTTTAGCTCACGCGCTTCAAACTAGAAAACAAGCGGAAGAGGCGCTGCAATCGTATTATGCAGTCACTCAAAAAACGTGGGAAATATGGCATACTCATACCTCTTAAGCCTGAGAGAACAACATCGGAAATGGATCGCTGCCATGCGAAAAAATTCGGCGAAGCCACAAGTAGGCGCGGTAGTTCTGGTAGCAGACCCCTTACTATCACGTAATGAGTGGAAACTCGCTCGTATAGTAGAAACACGCGCTGGAGATGACGGGGAAGTACGGGAAGTAGGTCTGATTACTGCAGCAGATACAAAAATTGACAGACCGGTCAATCTCGTTGTTCCTTTAGAGCTTGATTGCGAATACGACGAAACTCATTTGCGAAAACTACGAGCGCAAACAGCTGAAGAAGCGATTAGCACAGCGACTCCTAACTTGCGACAAAGTGGAAACGAGCGATATAACTTGCGAGAACGAAAGCAGGTGAGTTACCGTGAATAGATTTTAATAGCTATGAATTCTACAATTACGCTTCCGATTTTCTTTTTCATTCAAATTTTACTACAACTTTGTTTCACTTTCGTAAATGCATCAATCCGTATGGAATGCAACAGCCACGGGGTGATTGTTCATTCCGACAATAGTACCTTCCAAATTTGCATAGATGGCTATTGTCAGTTGTACAATCATGCCGCACCAAAAGAGCTCGTACGGTTTCCTCCGGACTTGACGCTTCATGACCACACAATTTCGCTTAAGTGGACAAAAAACCAATCGTTCGCAAGCATGCGCATGCGCTGCCCAAGCCTTGATTTCTGCGACAATGTGCAATGTTTCTTTTGTTTAGCGCTATTGCTCAATCCGGAATGTTGGCCATTAGGGGCTCTCGTAGGCTTTGCTATATTTCTATACCTGATAGTAGCATTATGTTACATGATTTTGTATGTACCCGTAACAGTGGGGAAACCGCTACGTCTCATTAGCCGCGCCTGTTGCACAACAGCTTCCTTTTTGACACATATGCTCATCAAGATTACTCGAAAAGTGCTTTACTCGTTCACAAGACCAAGATTAACAGTACGGCAACTACGAATTGCTCAGGCGATCGCGATCATTCTTTCTTACCTGTCAGCATTTTCAGCCTCAGAAGCGTGCCAAGAAGTCAATATGTTTAGTTTCAACACGCACATATGCGAAAAAACTGAGCAAGGGGAAGTATGCGAAGTGCGCATGTCAGAAATCNTAAAAATCAACCAGTTCCGACAAGAGGCCTGCTTGAAACTATATGCGAACCGTACACTTGTTTCGGTACTACAACTTCGGTGGAAAAGCTTGTATCTCTTCTGTATCCACGAATCTCTCGGGTTCACAAGAGATATAACGATTCGCACCCTCGACAGCAAACGCTGTGCAGGGAAAGGATCATGCAAAGGCGATAGATGCGCAAATGTTAGATCAACAGACCTCATTCCTGAATTGAAAAACGCGAACAACTTCCCTGGTAGAACGGGGTGCGTAGAGTCATGCGGATGGCTCGGGTGCTATTGCCTCTTACCCAGTGCAGCATGTCTCTTTTATAGAATCTATGCGATTCCCAAAACACCTTATATTTATGAGCTATCGCAGTGTCCAAGATGGCGCGAACAAGTAAAATTGGAAGGCACAGTAACGTATCCAAAGCACATCACTCGCGTAGTGGCGGTCACTCCCAATGTCCCTGTGCAAATGGGTGAATTCGAAATCACTATGACTTCGCTTGCACTGCCCCCTACGCCATTCTTGAACCAGCAATTCATCGCAAATAGCACAGTTGTAGCGATTTGGCAAAACAGCAAACCACCAGCGCTTCTGTGCGATAGCTATACAAGCGCCCTCAATTTGACCTGCGAACTACACGACAACTGCTTATGCGAACCAGCAGAAATCAAGATCAGATGCGAATGCGATGTTTCAACACCTGCGCAAATATTCGAAANAAAGATTGAGAGTAAACTACCAATCCAGCGCCCAGGACTACAATTCTTTGCGACAAATTCATCTCAAGTAGTGGCAAAAATCCGCGAAGTTAGCTCAGCTGAGTTTGTAGTCAAATTCGATGGCCGAATATCTTATGCAGTAGAGGAAACTCGCAATTACGACTGCTATATTGACGACGCCGCGATCCAAGGATGCTACAGGTGCGCAAAAGGTGCGACAGCAACAGTTCATTGCAAATCGCATGTGGCAACACTAGCGGAAATCGAATGCGAAGAGAACAGCTTTGTAGCAACGTGCTCGCCAAACAGCCCTGCAACGCTGCTCCGCTTCCACCGCAACAATGCCCGCAATTATATCACTTGCGCAGTGCGATGCGGAAAAAACTCAACGCAGTTCGTGATATCTGGACTTCTGAAATTTGCGCCATCACTCCAAGGAGCGATAGCGACGTACTTGGGCGGCGAAAGCGTATCACAAAATTCATTCGAATGGCCTGATTTAAGCCACTTAGCATCATTTTTCATGCAATGGTACAAAACCACTATTGCTCTGATATTAGCTGTAGCAATAGCGGCAGCCCTTTCATACATGTTTCTACCATATGCAGTAGGCGCCGTGCTCAAAATTGCGCTTCAAGTCACAAAATTCTTCTTTTGGAAACTCCCTTGCAAAGTCTTGCGGTTTTTTCTGCGAGCGTGTTTCAAAACCTATGGGTTGCGAATGCGAAAGGTGCAAGCCAAAATATGACTCGTGCGAAATTTTTCTTTCATATTATAATTCAGAAATGCCTCCCGCGAACATAGCCGAGGAATATCGTAAAACGAAGCGAGATCTACTAAGACTTCGATCAGCATTACCGCGTCTCATGAAACCGTCGAAACTTCTTGATAGAATTGTTTCTAAGACTCGTGATGTCATGTTAGAATGTTCTATTCTTGATAGGCTTCGTGCAAATGTACCATATTTCACCAATTGTAGTGAGCGATTTGGGGAAATGGAGCGCGATATACAAATTTTGGAAACAAAAGCTGAAAATTGCGAGATCCGGTTCCTCTACCTTCGCCACTGCCTCCGAACCCTTCATGCCACAGCACCACTCCTAGTCGCTACCGGAAGAATTTCTGATGCTGCATGGATTGCAATGCTAGAGCAAAAGGAAAAATACTACGATGCTGAAGGAAAAGCACACTCGATGGTTATTCATCAAGACGTAGTGGAGAACATCTTGGCGGATCAGTTATCATCGATTACCGAATTTTTCGCCACCTTGCGATCTTTGCGTGCAGAAGTTCTTAAACAGCAACAAGACTTCCAAGTATCGTGCCAACAGAAGCTAGAGGTCTCCATAAACACAATGCAGAACTCAATCCAGGAACTCGCTGAAAGGATCGACAGCCTCTGGCAAACACAACGTCGAAAAACATCATCTCGGGCGGCGGAGGTCGACGAGCACCCTCGTCGAAACGACGACAACGATGAACCGGGCCAAGACGAAATTCTCATGGACACGGACGAGTTCGACGAGAAAAACCGAGAAGAAATGGATATCGTTCGCAGAACCATGGAAGCTAAGATCCACGCTCTCGGAATCCGAATTCAGTCACTCATGAAAACGCAGCCATGTCAACCGAGGCAATATTCGAAAGGAATGAGACCTGATCATCCGAGTGAATCAAATATGCGTTGCATTTTCTGCGGAGCTCGGGGCGACCACTACAGTGACTCCTGCGGCAAAGTACGAGACAGTAAGAGACGTCGCATACTTCTGAAACGATATCGACGATGTGTTAATTGTTTGGAGATAGGATGTCTGGAAGAGGAAACGTGTCCCAAATTCTGGACGAAGTGCCACCACTGCGGGCGACGAGACCACCACTCCGCACTATGTGAGAAACCAGACATCGCCCGGCAGATCGAGGAGGAGATCACCAGCATCAATGCTGAACTTACAAGAACACTCGAAAAATTGAACTCCATCCGTTCAACACTTGGTATGGACCCCGTCTCCCTTCCCGCCACACCTTGAGGGGCCGGAATATCGCAGAAGCGCTTTTGCAAGTAGAAATTGTTACTGTAATTGTTGTAAAAGGCGCAACGTGCGAGATTCAAAAGAATTCGAAACAGCGATGGGAAACAGCGCTCTGCGATCTGATATCACAGGTTAAGCAGCATATAAAAGATCGGCGAATGCGAGCATAGCAGTTCTGAGTTTTTCCTTGTTTTTGTAATTTTTTATGGTTGATTGTTCTTTTCACGTGATGATTGCCGTTAGTTCGCTTATGTACTGAAGTCAAGGGTTTAATTACCCAAGTTTGAGGTTAGCGAGCCAATAAATGGTCGATCGCACATTTCTGCTGTGACAGAAGAGTCTTTCAACCCGCGTGGCAACTAACCAAGAACCACTACTTTATGGTGCATCGAACCTCCAGCAAGTCGGACTTGGGCGTGAGGTAAGATTACATTTGAGGCTCTAACCCTTAGCTTGGCTTGTCGTTTTACTAGATTCTGATTTGCAACTTTTGCGATTACTCGTTTGCGAGAGTTCTTGCGAATCAGTTTTTTCATGCAAAATGAGCGGCCCTGCAAGCTTGCGAGCAAAGAAAGGCCTTCTCACAAGATACAGTAACGCTCTTAACGAGATTGTGTTAAGTAATACCACTCTACTCGCTGGGGATCCCACCTTACAAGAACTCGCTGCTTTCAACTACAACGAAACCGTTTTACAGCGGGTTCGTGCTCTGGACTTAATAATGGAATGATTGATGAAGTTAAGAAGGCATTTGTCAACAAACACAATGATTACCGGTAAGTTTTTATATTCAGGAGTTTTAAGGGGGTTTATGTGTTTATGGAGTATTTAGGTTGTGAATATCGTATGAAATTAGAGACTGTCCAGATCACTTATTGCTGAAGGGCAAGCCAAGGATAAAGCTGAGGAACGTGCCCAAAAGCAGTAGAATATTTAAAGTGGTATTCCCTAGTGTTACGTCATTTCTGAATAAGCGCACTAGACCTCACAGCAGAAGCGCTTTTCCTGCGGCAAAGTACGAGACAGTAAAAGACGTCGAATACTTCTGAAACGATATCGTCGATGTGTTAATTGTTTGGAGATAGGATGCCTGGAAGAGGAAACGTGTCCCAAATTCTGGACGAAGTGCCACCACTGCGGGCGACGAGACCACCACTCCGCACTATGTGAGAAACCAGAATCGCCCGGCAGATCAAGGAGGAGACGTGCGAGATTCAAAAGA